CCCGCCGTGCCCCGGGCAGCCGCGTCCCGTCCCGAGCCTCCGTGTCCGTGCAGGGAAGGAGCCGTGCCGGTGGCCCGCGGGGTCCCGGTGCCGCGGCGGCCATGGAGGAGCGGAGGAAGAAGCGGAGCCCGCAGAGCTGCCTGGCCCAGCCGGTGCCCGCCGGGGCCCCGCGGCCGCTGCCCCCGAGCAAGAGCGCGTCCTTCGCGCTGCCGCTGCCCGCGCTGCCCTCGCCCCGGCAGCGGCCGCGGCCCCGCCGGTCAGTGCGGCCCGAGAGAACCGGGAGGACCGGGGGGAACCCGAGGGGAACCCGGGGGGAACCGGGGAGAACCGGGGGGAACCCGGCAGGGAACCGGGGCAGCCCAGGGGGAACCGGGAGGAACCCGGGGGAGAACCGGGAGAAATCCGGGGGGAGCCGTGGCAGCCCGGGGAGAACCGGAGGAACCCGGGGCAGCCCAGGGGAAAACCGGGAGGAGTCCGAGGGGAGCTGAGGAGAACCGGGAGGAACCGGGGTAAACCGGGGGGAACCCGGAGGGAGCTGGGGCAGCCCGGAGAGAACCGGGACGAACCCGGGGGGAGCCAGGAGGAACCGGGAGGAACCCGAGGGGAGCCGGGGAGAGCCTGGAGGGAACTGGGGGGAACCCGAGAGGAACCCGGGGAGAACCCGGGAGGAACCCGGGAGGAACCCGGGGGGAACCGGGACGAACCTGGGGGGAGCCGGGAGGAACCCGGGGAGCCGCCGGGCCGGTGCCCACGCCGCGTTCCCCGCGCAGGGCGAGCAAGGAGCGGGCACGGGCGGGCGCGGGCGGCTCCCGGGGCGCCCCGCTCCAGCACAGCTTCCTCACGGACGTGTCCGACGTGTGCGAGATGGAGCGGGGGCTGCTCAGCCTCCTCAGCGACTTCCACTCGGGAAAGCTGCAGGCGTTCGGTGAGGGAGGGCTGGGGTGGGACCCGTGGGGTGGGATGGGGTGGATGGGGTGGGGTGAGATGGACAGAATGGGATGGGATCGAATCCGTGGGATGGGATCCATGGGGTGGAATGGA